CTGTGCAAAATCACAGTTGGCGCGAGTCTTGAACAATTATTTGCTGCATGCCCACACGGAAAAAAATTGTCACATATAGTTGTCACATAAAAATTGCTTGTGTAGACGGGGCTTTAAGGCCCGTTTACACTTGCAAATTTTGTAGCCCGATTGTCGCGCGCAATCGGCTATTGATGGTTTTCAACCATTCCCTGGAGAGAAAGTTGAACAAAAGATGTCTGCCATTGCTGGTGGACCTGACAAAAGAAAACCACCACCGTGACTGGTGGACMTTTTTGTTTTGCTCACTCTCATGGGAATGGTTGAAAATCATCAATAGATTCGAACATGCTTGAAATTTAGCGGCATCGCCGCGACAATAGAGAGTTTAAGCATCACGTTTACGGCAAACGGCTAACGGTAGAGCTGAACCGTGCAATGACCTAAGAATTTCGTGCCTGACCTTGCGCTTTAGGTAGTCATTGGAAAGAGCGACTTTTCGCGATTATTGCAAACTCAAAATAACCCACTCTCGCGTTGAAACTGCAACGTTAAACTCTAAAAAAGCAGGTCACGTGAKCTTTTCTGACGTTTGCCGTGAACATCATGCTAAACCTCTCTAATCGCAGGGCTGTTTACACGTACGATTTGAGGTGCGCGAGAGCAAAGTGGTGATTGTCGCGCGACAATCGCGCTGCAAAAAATGCAAGTGTAAACGGGCCTTTGGAAATCGAAGACGCGGCTCCCATTCGGCCACGCGGTTAGACTTGTCTTTCAAACTGCAGGTGCTCGTTCCTTGTTGTCAAAAATCAAAGTTAAAAATAATTAGATTGTAACGAAAAAGAAAACTGTATTCATAAAATCATGTACAATTCTATTTGAAAAATAATTATAATTTGAYTCGACATACCGTCACAAAGTCACAAAGGTCGAAAAGCAAGCAAAGAAGACTGGACGATCCTCCAATTCGTTTCGAAAATGATTGTACGAAGGTGATGGCCTGTGCTTATCGAGAACCCAAGTTAATATTGAAATGAAACAATGAAGACTCTGTCGTAAAATGTTCCAGCTCTACGCAGCTCGCAATCAAAGAGACTGTAATCTTCCTTGTACTCCTTTATACATCGACGTCCAAAAACACTTCTGAATTAAATATAAAACATGTGCTTTTGAAAGAATATGATAATCTGCAAAACATCTGTTGTCTATAGATACTTATGCAAAATTTCTTTGCGTACTTGCTTTGACATTTTCTTTGTTACTTAGGTTGATTACTAAAATGACCACACTTATGATATAACAAAAATGTACCAAAAACACAAATTTCTCTCAGACAGACTCAAATATTTTAAGAAATTGTCCGTTTTGCCTCGTTAAACCGCATACTATTTGACTGTTTCATAGTAAATGTTAACTTGTTTTTTTTTTTTTTGACAAATTTCTTGTTTGACACAAAACCAAGACTTTCAATGAAACATATTTCGTMTACTGACCTTTTCAATCATTGCTACGTTTAAGCTTACAAACTCTTTGATGATCAAATTTTTGAAGTTTCTTTTGTTTGCTTTAATTGAACTCACGAGATATCRATTGTTGATTGCGGGCGAAGTTGTGTTTCATGGGGATTGTTATTATTGCTTTTTGACACTTRCGGGTGATTTTACATAGTTTTGGATGCTGAATGGGATTTATATCATTATATCGATCGCCGGCGCTATCCAGAACCGAAGTTAAATTATTTCATTGTCGACGGATGTTGATTTGTTGATTTTTAATCAGATATAACGAAAAAAAACTATATTCATAAATCAGATACTCAGAATTGTATTTGTCAAGTAATTATCATTTGATTCATCGTATCGTTCTTTATTCGTTTACACAATAAATCTTCGAGTTGTGTTGCCATTGGCGGCTTGATTAAGATTGTCACTGGATTTAGATTGTCTGATTCTGCGGCAATCTCCCTCGAGTAGCTGTTTATAGAATTGAATAACTCGCGATGTTTTTCCAGTTGCTTCTGAGATTTGGCTAAAAGGAAAGTAGAAAATAGATATTTAGAACATAATTTCTGGGCGTTAGATCTGTTGATATCAAGCCCAAGTGTGACCTAAACTATAAAATAAAGATTATGAACGATTTCAAACAATCGATCATTATACGAAATAAGGAGGGGTGTATGTTTCAAGCATACCACCCCCTTCATACCCCTCTACCGTATCTAAAAAAAACGAGCTTAGCACTTTAAACCTATAGTCGAGTAAAAATGTCTGTCTGTAACAAAAAAATGGGCTGGATATTAGAAATAAACTCGTATGACTAAAGCGAACCTAATTACATCAAAGAAGACCGCCTAATTCAGTTATCAATTGTATTTAATGAGTTCGGCTCTTGAGAAGTACAGCGTTTGACCTGGGCCCAGGGGTCCTAAAATAAAATCAAGTAGGAGTAACTAACGCTAATTTGTATGATTTACAATGTAAATAAATACGACATGATGGTTTTGATGACGATATATACAAATTATTCAATATTATAGAAAAGGCAATTAATGAGCTGCGTGCAGCTTCCTGACAAATATATTACTATTATTTCGACATACCTTTCCGTTGCTGAGATTTAGGAATTGAATTTTCAGACACATGCCTTGCCGTCCCATAATTTGCAAGCTGAAGTGCAAAACTAGCATCATCCTCGATTGACTGTGAAGAATTGGTTGTCATTTCAGGAAATGAAATTGCTGATTTCTTAGCTTCTAAGGACGTTTGCAGATTCATCCGCCAGAGTTTTCCCTTGTCCTCTGCATTATGTCTTGTTTGAACGCGTAATGCAAGTAAGTTCTCGTGGCTTGCGCATTTGTTACAGGAGCAGTTTTCAAAAGGACAGTTTCGTTTGTGCCCTTTAAGCAACGTTATCTTTCCATGTAATCGGCATTTACCGCATTTTCGCCCTGACATGGCGGAGCTGGTGTTCGAAATGATTCACTCATCTGATCATATGAGAATGCATGAAAACACACTTTAGCGTAATTAAGTTAGTTCTTTTTATTTTATTGTCTGCAATCAATTTGTGAAAAGAAGGAATGCTGATGATTAGCGGGGGCNTCTTATCTTTTAATATTTGCATTAATCAGTGTAAACCGTTAAAAGTTGGTTGCAAATGATAAAAAAACGTCATATTCAAATAAAATAAAGTACGTAAACCGTTGTAAACCGTGGTTAAACGTGGTGAAATTAAGAAATAAGCACAAAATAGACGAATTACTTTGTCCACTAGTACCATTTTGAATCTGATGACGTCACAGCCCGAGCGTGGGTAACTTTATGCACCTATATTATAATATTTGATTGTTAAAAAATCGTAGCTCAAACCTTTTTATTAAAAAAGCCTTGCTACATCGCTATTGATGCTAAAAATGCATGACTTCTCTTTTGAGATATCTCTTTTGCGCTGTTCAGCCATTAACATTATAACTGCACACTAAAGACAATTCTTTGAAAAGTACACTCACTCTTCTCGCTTGATATTTTCGGGAGATTCATTGGTTTTAGCTTATCATTCGATTGCAATTAAGAATAGGATGATACTTATGAACAGTTCAATTGAAAATAGAGCGGTGTCACTCCTCGCTAAACTGTTAAAATTCATAAAAAGAACGAAATGTCCAAAATACTGTATTTGTGCGTTTTTGCAAATATCTCTAAAAGTCGCAGTGCTCTATAGAAAAAACTTTGTGTTAAGGTCACACTTACTGAAAAAAAGTGATTTAGCTCCAAAGAGCACGTCGGTGACGGCTAGAGAAAGAAAATAATGGATTTGATGAGTTCCATCAATATGTTGATACGACTTCCGGTTATGTAAATGCCGTAAATCGATCGTGCCCATAAAAGTGAAATATTTCCACTAATATGTTTCTCAGTGCAAAAATATTTGGCATGAGAATTCTAATATGTATCTCTTATAAGGTGATGTGAGTTTGGAGTTRTTTTTCTGAAATTCGACACGATTTACAACGGTTTACATACCATTTCAATAAAAGATCTTGACTTAGTCTTATCTTTTAATATTTGCATTAATYAGTGTAAACCGTTRAAAGTTGGTTGCAAATGATAMAAAAACGTCATATTCAAATAAAATAAAGTACGTAAACCGTTGTAAACCGTGGTTAAACGTGGTGAAATTAAGAAATAAGCACAAAATAGACGAATTACTTTGTCCACTAGTACCATTTTGAATCTGATGACGTCACAGCCCGAGCGTGGGTAACTTTATGCACCTATATTATTTGATTGTTAAAAAATCGTAGCTCAAGCCTTTTTATTAAAATAGCCTTGCTACATCGCTATTGATGCTAAAAATGCGTGACTTCTCTTTTGAGATATCTCTTTTGCGCTGTTCAGCCATTAACATTATAACTGCACACTARAGACAATTCTTTGAAAAGTACACTCACTCTTCTCGCTTGATATTTTCGGGAGATTCATTGRTTTTAGCTTATCATTCGATTGCAATTAAGAATAGGATGATACTTATGAACAGTTCAATTGAAAATAGAGCGGTGTCACTCCTCGCTAAACGAAATGTCCAAAATACAATCCTGGACAAAAAGGTTGAGAGTAACTGCACTCTTCAGGTCAGTTCAACAAAACATCCTCTCTACCCCCTCTCCTCCCCCAAAACAGTGTTGTTAGCACTCAAACAGAATCCAGCAGGTATGTGTGCTCTTTAAAGTACAACTTTGAGCGAAGGGGGGCAGKAGGAGGGCAGAAAAAGAATAARGATATACGGAGACATTTCAACATTCTGCGATTTTTAAAACATTCTCAACTCTTTTTGTCCAGGATTGTAGGCTGTTGACAAGAAAGAGATGTGTTCATGTGGCCAAGGAAAGAATGACACCACATTTACTTAATTTACGTCAACTTTTCTTTCAATGGAGAAGGACTGTTGATCCCAGGAAGGTGTACTTTTTTGACGAAACACATGTCAATTGCGAGACTGACGAGCGGGATTGGGGAGGGGCTGACTCTGGATTTGCTTGTCCGGTGTTTCGTCAGAAAAGTAAACTAAGAGCGGGAAAGTATTCTACACTTGGTGTATGTGGATATAACGAAGGATTATTGCAATCAATTCCAGTTCAAGGAAACTTCACAGCAGATTTGATAAATGACGTTATAGAGAATCAAATACTCCCACTGTTACCTGCAGACACATTTTTGGTTGCTGACAATGCAAGTGTTCATAATGAAGCTGCATTATGTRGGYTGCTGGCTAGGAAAAACATTACGCTCGTCAAACTGCCAGGCTATAGTTATGACCTAAACCCAATGGAAATGGTGTTCGCTCAAGCCAAAGCAATAGCTCGTTTTACCCCTGSCTTTTTGGATGAAAATCCCATTCTCGCTATGGTARACGAATTTCAACAGGTCCGACCCATTAATTTAAGAAACTATTATCACAGATGCTGGAGAGTATTTGTATAAATAGACCACCCATAAACATTTAAGTCATTATGAACTGTCATAACAGACAATTAGAGTCATATTGTGCGGGCCCATTGTAATCTCCAATAAAACGATAATTAGATATAAAGGCATACTTAGCAAGCATTATGCAAAACTAAAATTTCAACT